GATGTGGAATTTGCCTAAGGTGTACACCTCCTCTCTATCCTTCCACCCTCTTCCCAAAAAAAAAAAAAAAAGAAGAATCAAAATTAAAAACAATCTCAAAGAGTCATAAGGGCAAAACATAGTGGAAGCGAAGGAGTGATTGGCGCCAGCGGAGATGAGAAGAACATGGTGGTGATGCACTGGCGTGGATATGAATTTGGGATGAGATACGGTGACAACCCTCTTAGGGGTTGTCAGATTCACAACCCATTCACTAACCGTTGGATACACTCTCTCTCCTGTCTGTTTCTTCTTTTTTTAAGTTGATGGTTAGGATTAAAAGAAGGGTATTTTTGGAAAGGAAAAATGTTAACACACCCAATCATTTTCCCTCCCATATAAATAAAATAAAAACCCTAACTCCTCCCTCTCCCCCTCATCTCTCTCTTTCCCTCCTCCCTCTCTCTAGACAGCACTCCCGTCGGCCTCCACCACCGCTGCCGCCTCTCTCCACCCACCAGCGAAGCTTTTTCAATGGAAATATGTGAGGCCGTTGCCGTGTATTTTCCCCCTCCGCTCTCCGCCCCCAGTTTGCCACCCTCCCTCTCCATTTAAAGGCAAAGCCCCCCGTTCGATCTCTCTCTCACTCATTGCCTACAAAAGTCGAAATTCCCTTTTGTCTTGTGATTCAGTTACACCGCAGCCTACAAAAGCAGATCCCACCGCAGCCTCACTGGGGATTCTGTTACACAATGCTGCACAAGGTGTCTCGTAGCTTTGCTCTTGTGATTCAGCAGTTGGGAACCGAGCTCCGTGACGCTGTAAGCTTCTTCTGCTCTTTCTGTTTGTAAAAGTTCTTTTTTTTTTTTGCCTTGGGAATTTGATTTATGATTTCTTTGAGCTACTGTGATTCTTTTCTTCCCTGCCTCTCTCTTTCCTCATCCCTATTTTTTTCCAGATCTGATAGTCTCTACCGGTACCAATACCACTGGTAGCACTATTGGTACCAATACCACTGGTAGTGCTATTGGTCCGCTACCACTACTCACTGGTACCAATACCAGTGGCTCCCCTATCATCTGGTACCACTATCATCTGTTTTTTTTTTTGTGTGTTACTCGCTACTGGTACCGCTACCAATGCTAGTGGTAGCTATACCAGTGCTAGTAGCGTTGTGTTATTCTCTACTGGTAGCGTTGTACTGGTAGCGTACCACTAGTACTGGTACATTTTTTACTGGTACCGCTAGTACTGGTACATTTTTTAACGTACTGGTAGCGTACCACTAGCACTGGTATATTAATTACCAGTAGACTAATAGATTGGTACACTTTTTAACGCATTGATACATTTTTTCAGGTTGCCGGAGGGAGTCTGCCAGAGAGAATTCGCCGGAGAAAAAGTTTATCGGGGAATGCGGAGTGGCTGCTGGAGAAAGGAAGAGAGAGAGATAGATAGAGATATTAATGTATAGGATTTAAATTTCAAAAAAAAAAAATTGTATTTAATATGGGTTTTTAATTCCCAATATAATTAATACAAAAAAGGTAATTAATATATTCCTTTTTTTCATACCCAAAATACCCTTGGTTGTGAATCTGACAACCCCCAAGGGGGTTGTCACCGTATCCCGTCCCTATGAATTTAGTGGATTTTAGTTTCGTTTCCAGTTTCGCTCCTTCTATCTTCTTTTTATTGCAGATGGGTCAGATGTCAAAACTGATCGGACAGTCTAATCGGTTTGAACAATTAACCGTTCCGGGCGCTCGAAAATTGTCCTTTTAGCCACTACAATTATTTGAGTGTACGGAGCCAAACTGACAGACAGGTGCCGGTTTTATCGGTGCGACCGGCCGACTTGCCTCAGTCTTAATAACACTGCCACAAACTATTGGTTTAGAGTGATTTCATAAGTGGGCAGTCATACCTATTTTTCCCATAACCAAAATTACCATTAGTAACGAAGAATGGGTGATCTAATGTGTTCTTCTTCACTTCCTTTTCCCCAAATTTTATTAATGACCAATGTGTTCTCCTTCCCCTGTCCTTCATTAATTGTGGTCAACTCATTTAAATGAAAAAGACGGCAAATGAAATGTTTCTATTGGTTGGAGCTAGTGTTAGCATAATGCTAACAAAAAAAGTGTTAGCACACTAGTCCCTCTCTCATAAGGAATGGGAAATATTTATAATATTGGCGAGTTCATATATAATATTATAATTATAATTGATGGATTTCAGTTTACATCGCCGGAAGACCTACGACACCGGTGACAAATTACGTCACAGGCACAGGCTGTTGGTAAATCAGAAATACGGTGGAAACTGTTGTGTCTTATTATTGAACCACGATTTGTTTATATAGAGTACAAAGACCGACTTTTATAATAACCCTAATACTAATAAAAAATTACCTAACTTTTACGACTCTAATAAGGAATATAACTCTAACCATTTACATAATAGTACTCGTAATATAACACAATACTACTCAGTACACAGTACCACTGCCACACATACTCAGGCTTCTTCTTTTGCCGTCCCTTTCTGACAGTGAAAGCGATTAGTGCGCGGCATTGGATTAACGGGTGTTTAAAAAGTGTCCTTTGGTAGCGTTTCAAACTAGTAATCCAAAGCAGTGGTACCTAAATTTTAGGCAATTTTGTACAAATTTAGTTGTCTTTTCGTATGATTATATCAACTAGTTTTTTGGTCCGCGCTTCGCGGCGGTAAGAATTTGATCATATCTAAAACTTGGTCCACTCTTTTACTCATTTAATGATTAATTTGAAATCAAATGATTCACAAAATAGTTCGAGTATATATATCTTGACAATTTTCTATGTAATTTCTTAATTATTATAGAAAAATTATATAAAACAAAGTGATACTTAAGAAATAACTACCCATTTATAAGTTTTAAATAATGTATTCATAATTTAAATAACAATTGTAGAACGAAGTTACCTAAATCTTTCATAATATGTGGTCTAATAATAAAATCAAGTTATGAAAAATATCATATTTGATCAAACTACATTGAAAAAGTTAACTTACTTTACAGATTTTGCATAATGCAAATTGTTAATTATCATTTTTTATTTAATATATTTATAATATGTAAATCCTTTGTAATGTGAAATGAAAAAGTATCGAGATATTTGTCTAAAGGTGAAAGAGTTTATGGTGAAATCGAGTGCAGAGGATTGAAAAAATATTTGATTAAACAACTGACTGTGAGAAAAAAGAGCTTATGGTAAAACTGAGTGTTGAGTACAAAAAAAATCCGCTGAAAAATGAAAACGTACCGAGATAGAAGTCTAAAGGTAAATACAAAATTCTAGGGAAATTGGATGCAAAAAATGAAAAATAAAAATTATATAAACAACTAACTATTGGCTAAAAGATGATAGTAAAACTGAGTGTAGAGTATATAGATATCTTGAAATTTTTTTATGTAGTTTCTTACTTATCACAGAAAACTTATATAGTACGTTTATTTAAGTGATACTTAAGAAATAACTACCAATTTATAAGTTTTAAATAATGTATTTATAATTTAAATAACAATTATAGAACGAAGTTACCTAAATATTTCATAATATGTGGTCTAATAATAAAATCAAGTTATGAGAAATATCATATTTGATTAAACTAAAATTAAAAAGTAAATTTACCTGACAAATTTTGCATAATGTAAATTTTTAATTATAGTTTTACTTAATATATTTATTATATGTAAATCCAAGTATCGAGATATTTGTCTAAAGGTAAAAGAGTTTATGGTGAAATTGGGTGCAGTATATGTAAATCCAAGTATCGAGATATTTGTCTAAAGGTAAAAGAGTTTATGGTGAAATTGGGTGCAGAAAAAAATTTGATTAAACAACTGATTGTGAGAAAAAAGAGCTTATGGTAAAATTGAGTGTTGAGTACAAAAAAATCCGCTGAAAAATGAAAAATTACTAAGATAGCTGTCTAAAGATAAATACAAAATTCTAGTGAATTTGGATGCAAAAAATGAAAAATAAAAAACTACATAAACAACTAACTATTGGCTAAAAGATGAAAATAAAATTTAGTGTAGAGTATAAAAAATCTAGTAGCTACTGAATGTGGGAAAATCTCATTGACAACTGATTGTAGGAAAAAAAGAAAGTTACTATAAAATTGGTCAAATCGGATAGAGTATAAAAAACATAACAACAATTATAGGTTGGGTTGTTAATAATTAGTGGCCGGTGATATATGTTAGCTTTATTTAATCCATATTATATTGGGTTGGTTGTTATGAGGAAAGAAGTATTATATTGGGTTGGTTGTTATGAGGAAAGAAGGAGATGCTATAAATGAGTCCACGGAAAAAACCCCTACAATGAACAGTAACCCCATGTTCTGAGCGATAAAATCGTAAGGAACAGTGCCCAATACTTGCACTTTTAATAAATTGATGTGGTATATATAATCCAAAGCCATTATATTGCTCTTGCTGCTACTAATTATCATCTGGCTATAGTTATCATGACGAGAATATAATCGGCCAGTGAGCAGTAAGTATAATTAGGTCATTAAAAGGTTTATATCTGTGAATGGTCCTGAAGAATCATTCACTTATTTGTTCACCAAAAGTAACTTCTAGTTGAATTGCTAACAAAAGAGTTTCTGCATAGTCGATCTCAAAACATTCGATTTTACATACGTAATTGATAGTAAAAAGCTCTCGTTGGATTTAGAGATTATACTGTTAAAATTTGATAAAACAATGTGAACATTGGCGAAACTTGAACAATGTAACATTATCGCTGTTCATTAATTAAATAGGCAGAACAAACGGCCGGCCATAGAAATTGAAGGTGAAGGAAAATGACGTAAAATGCTCCCAGACGACTGAATGTGCATAGTATTGATCCATTCGGCCGAAGGGTAGTCCAGGTGTTTTTGGGGCTATAAAACGAAGCCTTTAGCAGAGCTTAAACTCCCACAAAGAAGGACTTAGTAGGATTAATTCTATCACTGAAATGATGCCTTCGTCTCCCCTATCTTCACCACATCTCTGCTTCTTGTTGCTGTTACTCATCCTGTGCCCTTTCAACACCATTAATGCCATCCCAAACCTCAAAAGACCAAAAGGGTTCTTCCACAAATCATCATTGAAGCAGCAGTCTGCAAAACCAAGCACTGTTTTCCAAGTAACCAAACCCATCCATGTCCCCAATACCGTGCCCTGCAAGAAACTTCTCCTCCAACACGAATTCAGCTCGACCGCCGATAACCCCCAAGTTGCAACGGATTACGAAGGCCCTCCTTCCGCCTGTGGCTCGCACGATTTCTCCAAGATTGTCTTGGAATCGAAGGGGAGTTTCAGCGGAGCACATGACGATGGGGCCTTTGCGGTTTGGTTGGGAGGAGTCGAGCTGCTGAGGAGCTCCTCTGCTCAAGGGTTCAACACGTCGGTAACTTGGGCAGCACAGAAGGATATCACGAGGTACTCTTCCTTGCTGCTCAAGAAAGAGAAGCAGAATCTCGTCGTCTTCTTTCGAACTAGTACTAATCTCGGTCAGAAATTCATCGGGGTTTATCACCTCGCAATTAGCATCTCATTTTACCCTCTTGAGCACAAAGGTCATGATCCTGACACAGTTAACAAAGGGTTCCAGACCGAGTCCAAGGCCGATTTAATCCTACCCATTTCTCGAAATCTCGAGTCGAAAGAGGATGGATTGTGGTTTGAAATTGAGAACTCTACCGACCTGAAGCGCGAGGGATTCAGGGTTCCACAAAATGCTTACAGAGCTGTACTAGAAGTGTATGTGTCACCGCACCAAGACGACCGATCATGGTATTCGCAGTATCAATCCGAGTTCTACAATTCCAACCAATTTCGGGACGAGGTTGGAAACGGGCCTTTCAGAGACGTGGTGATCACTTTGGATGATAGGATTGAAGTAGGCGCGATCTGGCCTTACCCTATCATCTATGGTGCAGGGTATGATCTGTGGAACCCTGTAGTCAGCATACGCAGCTTCGATTTCCCTTCTTACGACGTCGAATTGACACCATTCTTGGGGAATCTACTCGACGGAAGGATCCACAATTTGAGCTTTGGCATAGGGAATGCAGCGAATGTATGGTACATCGACGCGAACCTGCACCTTTGGTTGGACAGCAGAAGCAGCAGGACAGAGGGAAAACTCGTGTCGAACTACAGCAAGCCGCTCGATCTCTCATCGAAGCTCAAGATAAATGGGCCAGTTGCTGGGAAATCGTGGGTCGAAGCAGAGAGGGTTCTTTCTTCACAAGGATGGGTACAATCGTCACACGGTAACATCACCACTCGTGTTAACCAAAACATGTCGTATGCTAACTACATGGAAAATAACAGAGAGGACACTCACTTCGGTCGCACAGTAGAACAGTTGATTCATTCAAATGACAGTGTTTCGTTCGTAAATGATTCTGCTGCTTCTGAATTCTACTCGTTTGAGTCGAAAAAGACCTTCAGTTTGCTGAACAAGGAAGAAGTAAAACGGTTGAAAGGAGAAGGGGATATCATCGACAACATAAACATCGAGATAGAGTATGATGACGAGACAACACACGAAAGTTCTCGCTCCAAATCGACGATAGTGAATAGCCTGAAAGATCAACAAAGTGGCACAACAGTTCTGATCTTTAAGAACTATACGTTCTTCAGCGCCGTGGATGCCATGAATCAATCGTACCACTATCAGAATGTCGAGGATAATACTAAGATGTGTTACATCAGGAACATCAACACCTTCAATGCCAGCATTGTTTATGACAAGGAGAACAGTGAGTGTGCTACATAAATAGACCAGTCTGTTGTTGTTTACAATATGAATAATAAACAGTACTATTTGAATAGCTTGAAAGATCAAAAGTGTATTATTAATATTATATACTTGTTGTTCTTAGTATAAAGGACTTATTCCATCGATAGGCTCTATGTTGGATAATTGAGATATATGAGATTGAAAGAGGTGATTCATGGATTCCAGGTCACCATTGATTTCATCACATGCCATAAGATTCTGTAAATTCTCAGTCACCGCTCTTCTCTGATGGCTACTGTGAGTTAGTTCCGATGGTTTTTTGTTTTTTTGGCAACGAGGAGAGAAGATCGACTGCTTCAGGTCAGATGAGAAATGGGTTGACGGCGCGCGAGGGTAAAGGCTAGGATGGGCCGACGGGGTTGGCGCCTAATTGGGCCTTTGCCCTCTATCAACCCAAATCTCGGTAGCCCATTTCAGGGCCAGTATACAGCATTACAGCTTAGTAAAACTAGACTAGATAGTGTGACAACACAATAACAACACAAGTTTCCAACATATAGGACAATGCAGTCAAAATCGCGCTTTAAAACTTAAAAACTTACGATTTTACGCTTTTGGGTCACCAAAACGCTTTCGTTTCCATATAAAAACTTAAGTGTATAAAATCGGACTAAATTGCGCTTTAAAACTTAAAAACTTACGGTTTTACGGTTCTAGTTCACCAAAACGCTTTACGTTTTTACGCTTTTAGTTCGCTACATGAGTATTCTTTTCATGAAATTAATTATAAAAAGTATATTTTTAAAGTAAATCACTAACAATATGATACATTTGAGATTAAAAGATACATACTATGTACTTGGATGCATTCTACTTCAATAGAGTAATCTAATTCACCAACTAGGGTTTTCCCAAATTCATTAGCATAGAGGGAAAAGTGGCTTATCGTGAAAATTTATGTTTACGAACTTATTATTAAGATGCTATAAGTTGCTCTACTTTAAACATGAATCACATGTATTTATTAACTTATCTAAATTCTGTGCATTCATATTTTGCATAGCATATGTCCTACTTAATAGATATTTAGTTATTTTTCAGTATGCGTCAAAAACTTACGCTTTTACGCTTTGATTCTACGTTTTACGATTTTACCCCTTTTCCGCTTCTAGGTAAAATCGCGCTTTTGACTGCATTGATATAGGAAGGTAGTGTTGTGATGACTTTTTATTATCTAAGTTGACCTAGTGTAAAATCAAAGTAGGGGTATAATGGTCATTATGAAAAATATGTTTAAATAATAATAAATTTTTTTTTTTTTTTATTTTCTGCCCAAATTTTGGACGCAGGAATCCGACCGCCGGTCACAGAATATGTTTGTTGTCGCCGGAATAAGCTTGCAGGCGTCGGAATATGCTTACCGGTGTCGGAATCTAGTCATCGGGGCCGGAATATGCCTATCGACACCAGAATCTGCTCACTGATGGTCATCGAAGTTTAGTCAACAAACTTAGTTGACCGGTCAACGATCAACGACCACCGGATATTGTGGTGTGCATTGTGAGATTTATGGTTTGGTTTCTCATATTTTTTGTATGCATTTTGTGGTTTGCTTTATCGTGTTTCTGGTTTGCATTAAGAAGTTTCTGTCGTGTTTTCAAAAAAAATTTGGTTTGCTTTGTGGGGTTTCTGATTTGTTTTAATAGATTTTTGGTCTGCATTATGGCGTTTCTGATTTGTGTTTGTGGTTTGTTTTATGAGGTTTTTGGTGTATTTTTTAAAATTTTGTGGTTAGTTTTGTGAGGTTTCTAGTTTGTTTTAATAGATTTTTGGTCTGCATTAGTACGTTTCTGGTTTGTTTTTGTGATTTGCTTTATCGTGTTTGTGGTTTGCATTATGAGGTTTCTGGTGTGTTTTTGAAAATTCTTTAGTTTGCTTTGTGGGGTTTCTGGTATAATTTAGGTGATTTATGTTATGGATTAGGAGGTTTATGGTGTGTTTTGAAAAATATTTTTGGTATGTTTTATGGTATTTCTGGTATGTTTCATGAGTATTGTACTTTGCATTAGGAGATTTTTGGTGTTGAGACTACTGAAGCTCGTAAAAATATGGCAACACTTTCAAAGATTTCAATCTAATAAAGGAGAAAGAAAATTAATGCTCCAAATACTCACAATTGCAGCTTAATAGCTACTTAGAGTACCACAAAACAAATTAAGCTAGTGTAGTAACAGGTTTGCCAACATACGGCAAACGCAATCGAAGACATCAACAACAGATTCTCCTTCAGGGAAACGAAAGAAGAACCTCCCAAACCTCTCCCTGGCCTCTTTTATGACCTTCATCCTCTCCTCGACCTGGAAATTCCCGAAGAGCTCACGAACCTGACACTCTTCTCTATCGCCGATGATCTGCTTCCTATCGAAGGCTTGCCGAACTCTCACATCGTGGATCGAGTGCGGTCATATGAGGAGACGTAGAAGAACACCCTCCAAGTGTTTGTTGAATCGCCAGTCGAAGGAGATCAGGTCCTGCAACCGGGCGCCCGTCTCCCGTGCCTGGACTCGACCTAATTCAGTGACCGGGATCGAATGGTCTATTATGTGGGTGTAGGCCGTAGTATCCAGATTCCCCCTGAGATTCGCCGTGTTGGACCAAGATTATCCGCTTCGACAAGTGGATGTGGTGGTGACGGTCATTGTCGCTGTTCTAATTAAGATCCACCAATGCAGGCGGAATTGTGGCTGTTACTGGTTTCCTTGGATGCATCGTGAAAGAAGTATGGGAAGCGGGGAAAAAGTTGGGGCGGCGGAGGAAGAATCGGGGCAGAGGAGAAGCCACGCGATGGGGGTGAGAAGAAGAATCGAGATGCAACGAGAGGGTGAACGAGATGGGGTGGGGTAGATATATTTTAATTAAAACTTTATTTTATTAGATTTTGGGAAAGTTTACCTTTATATCTTTATTGTTATAGTAACAACATAATAGGTGTAGTTATTCTATTTGGCCCCATCAAAAGCCATGCTAGAAAATCAATCAAACATGAATAAATTGATTGGCGCACATAGCAAATTCATACAAATTCACCAGATAAACAACTCTATATACGAAGCAGGTTCAACAGGTAATGTCGGTTCAGAAAAGAAGAAAAAAAGGGTGAGGATCTTAGAGGTATCCACAGAGGACGTATACGGTGCGAGAGATCTTTGCAACTATCGGAGACCGCATGCAATTCAGTATATCGCTCAAAGGTGCGGCGAAGGTTACAAAGTTAGTGTTAAGAACATTTCGGTGTTCTTAAGTGAGCTCAAGTGACAAAGTCTATGAATTGTGTACACCAACATTTACCTTACGGTTAAGAACATTGCAGTGTTTACTCAAATGTATTGCGGTGTTCTTAAGTGAGCTCAAGTGCAATGGTTACAATGTTAGTGTTAAGAATCATTATGTACTCAAGTGACAAAGTCTACGAATTTCGTAATCCTCTGATGGATCCCCTCCATGAGCGCTTTTCATTAGGTAAATGTTTACTCAAATGTATTTACCTGATCTAACACAATCATGAACAAACCGTAAGGTACTACCCCACCTCAGGTATGATTTTTCAATCCTTGATTATTAGAACCTAATGTTTTGTATAATAAGATCAGATTGAGTAGGGTGAACTATACTTTTAAGTAAGAACCAATCCAACAACATTAAGAAAAAACAAGTACTTTTCACCATAAAACAACTATTAAATTTAAGTTTATTTTTCGGTTGAAGAATGAATTATGTTAGTGAGGCTACAAGAGAAAATATGCTAACATAACCTAACTTTCTTACAAATATGCTTATGTACAACTCAAATATATTTTGGGATCAACACTTAAGAAAAAACGTTGTAATAGGGGTTGGGCATCTGCATATTGCATAATCCCAAATCCGCAGGACCGCACCCAACCTAAAAGATCGTGGATTCTACGAAAGAAAACCGTTACGCAACTTTAAACCTTATTTTATGTGGTAAATATGTCTGTGTTGAATCTGGTTGAACGGGTAGCTTGATTTGCGGTTGGTTTTGTTCCCCCTAGACACTTTGAGATACATATACCCTTTTACACTAAAGTAGGAAATAAAATTGAAGATTGAGATCCAATCACAAAACAAACATCCATGGTTAAGAACATCAACAAGTTTATAACGTTTGATATCCCATTACACTAAATATCGTGATATATCATCATATCGCGATATCTCGCCAATTTTACTTTCTCGTTAATATCATATCTTCCATGAATTATGATTTTAAAATCGTAACAATTTTCGTAATTATAAGTAGGCGGGAGCCAGGATGTAATACGACATTCCGAAATCTACCGTATGGTGTAATCGGAGTGTGCTCCTGCTTTGTATTTCTGTTTCTATGATGTGAGTATTGTGATCATGATTAAATGGAAATGTTGGTTTAATTTATAATTAGCGCTAATGATGAAAACCATATATTATAAGTTTTGTGAGGAACGTTTTCTAAGTAACTCATTTTAGTGTGATGAATTGTGTTACACTATGATTTTGTCAAATATTTAGTGATCCGTCGACTGTTATTCAAGTGTACACAATATATTAGCAGCCACTTTGTTACGTACCTAATAAATAAATTTATGTTATAAAATAGCAAGAAAGAGGAATATACACAAGAGTAAGAGTAGAGACACAAGAAAAGAGGGGGAATAGAGCTTTCTTATTCATGTGTTCCTTAATACAAGGAGATCATCTATTTATAGGCACACATCACATAACCTCTACATTCTTACAATTAATATACATGAATGTGAGAATGAATGTGAAATAGAAATGGGGTGGGGGGTTACATGTAACACCCAATTGTGCATCTAATGTATCATATGAAGAAATAAATATAAGGAGATGAGTCACATAGAACTTGTAACATACCATGGAGCATCTAATGTTGGTCATCCATAATAATAATAATAATAATATTTTCATAACACTCCCCCTTGGATGACCATTAGACATGAATATGCCTCGTTAAA